TCTGGAAACGAAGAAGGTGATTGGGATTGTCCGTGAGATGAATGGAGTTTACCTACTTGTTTGTCCGTGAAGTGGGGAAATTGTTTCTCTCAGTCTTGGAGTAAGATTATGCTTTGGCATAACCGATTAGGTCATTTGTCTTTTGGGTCTTTGAAGAGTCTTTTTCAAAATTTATTTGAGTCAGTCGAAGTGTCTAGTTTTAAATGTGAAAGTTGTGAAATTGCAAAGCACAGCAAATCATCTTATCCTTTGAGTAATAAAAGAAGCAACCTTCCTTTTGAAATTGTGCATACCAATGTTTGGGGGCCATATCATACTCCCACCATGGTGGTGGGGGGGGGGGGTATAGATATTTCTTGTTATTTGTTGATGATTATACCAGTTTCTCATGGGTTTACCTTATGCACTCTCAAGATGAGGTTTCTCTGACCCAGGCTTTCCATCAGATGGTTCTAACCTAGTTTGAAATCAAGATCAAAATTCTTAGATCTGATAATGCCAAGGAATACTTTGCAGGACCCTTGGCATCCTATCTCCTTGATCATGGGGTCATTCATCAGAGCACCTGTCCTCGTATACCTCAACAAAATGGGGTTGCAGAGAGAAAGAATAGACATATTTTAGAGGTAGCTAGAAGCATCATGCTCAACTCTAATGTTCCCATACGCTTATGGGGGGATGCAATCCGTACAACCATTTACCTTATTAACAGGGTTCCTTCACGTGCTCTAAACATGCAAACATCATTCAACCTTCTGTATCTAGATAAGGACCTGTTCACTATTCCCCTCAAAACTTTTGGGTGTACTTCAAATCCTTGGACCTCATCGCTGCAAATTTGATCCCAAAGCTACTGAATGTATTTTCCTTGGGTATGCACAAAATCAAAAAGGATATTGCTGTTATGAGCCTGTTTTAGGGAAACGTTTTGTGTCCATGTATGTCACTTTTTTTTTAGGATATGCCCTACTATTACAAGGCTTCTCCTCAGGGGGAGAATAGTGAGGAAGGGGTTTCAGTTTCATCCCCAAAAGTTCCTTTACTTGTCCAAGTTATTGAGGGGGAGTGTTGTGAAGAGGGTTGTCAAAAGTGTAGGGGGTTGAGAGTGTACCACAGAAAGTGGTGGAGGTAGGTCAATTCCTGTCCACAACAGTAATTCGAGTCAATCCCAACATCTTCTACAGCCCTAGATCCAGACACTACCATTGCTCCCACACTTGAGCCTGCTATTAATATGCTTAGCCTCCACCGTCAAATGACCTTGATCTTCCAATTGCAATTCATAAAGGGAAGCACCATTGCACCTTATCCACTGCCCATTGTATCTCCAAGTTCCTTTTCTATGATTGCCTCTTAGAATCCTATAGATCTTACTTGGCATCTATTGCTACTATTCCTATACCCAGAAAAGTGCAAGAAGCCCTTTTGATACCTGGGTAGAAGGAGGCAATGAAAGCAGAGACGGATGCTCTTGTTAAGAACAACACATGGTAACTAGTTAACCATCCTGAAGGGAAGAAACCTGTTGGATACAGATGGGCGTTTACTGTAAAATATAATGCTGATGGTACTATAGAGAGGTATAAGGCCAGATTAGTTGCAAAGGGATTCACACAAACTTATGGCATAGACTATATGGAAACCTTTGCACCTGTTGCAAAGATGAACACTATCAAAGTCCTACTATCCATTGCTGCGAACTTCTCATGGCCACTATTTCAGCTAGATGTTAAGAATGCTTTCCTCAACGGAGACTTGCAAGAAGAGGCATACATGGAGTTACCCCCTGATTTTTATAGTACAAAAGCAGGAAAGAAAGTTTTCCTACTGAAGAAGGCTTTATATGGGCTGAAACAATCTCCGAGAACTTGGTTTGATATGTTAAACTGGCTTTGGACAAATTCAGCTACATACAGGCTCAGTTAGATCACACTCTATTCTTTAAGAAGATAGGTCTTTCCCTGACCCTACTTGCAGTTTATGTAGACGAATTGTGATAATAAGAAGTGATATTAGTGAGATTGAATCTCTTAAACAACATCTTCACAAGGAATTTGAAGTGAAGGGCTTAAGGGAATTGCACTATTTCATGAGAATTGAGGTAGCTCGACCTAAGCATGGCATTTTTATCTCTCAGAGGAAATATGTTCTTGACTTACTGGAGGAAATTGGAAAGTTAGGAGTGAAACCAACTGACACACCTATTGAGCTTAACCATAAAATAAGTGCAGAAAGTGGAGAACTTCTTGAGGACAGGGCTATGTACCAAAGGCTGGTTGGGAAACTTCTTTATCTCTGCCTAACTCGGCCAAATATTTCATATGTTGTTAGTGTTGTTAGCCAATACATGCATTCTCCTAGGACCACTCACCTCCTTGCAGTGGAAAGGATTCTTGCCTACTTGAAGAGATGCCCAGGGAGAGGTATACTCTTCAAGAATAGTGGTCACATGGAAATAGTAGTGTATACAAATGCGGATTGGGCTGGACGTGTTGATGACAGGAGGTCTACCTCTACGTATTGTGCATTTGTGAGGGGAAATCTTGTTTCCTGGAGAAGCAAAAAACAGAATGTTGTTGCTCACTCTAGTGCAGAAGCTGAATACAGATCCATGGCCAATGGTGTTGCAGAAGTGTTATGGCTGAAATCCTTGCTTAATGAGCTAGAAATTGATTATGAGAAGCCACTGATGTTGTATTGCGATAATCAAGCAGCAATTAATATTGCCCACAACCCAATACAGCATGACAGGACAAAGCATATCAAAGTGGACAGACATTTTATCCGAGAGTGAGTTGCATCTCAAGAAGTATGTCTTCCTTACATTGCCTCAGACATGCAGTTAGCTGATCTCCTTACTAAAGCAATCACAAAGAGCAAGCTGGAGACAGATTTATGCAAGTTGGGAATGACAAACATCTACTCCCAACTTGAGGGGGAGTGTAGAGATAGTTAATAGTGTGTGTGGTTCCAACCCCACACTTATTTATTATGTTTTTATTTCCTTGTTTATCTTTTTTTAATTTGTGTTGGAGTTTTAAGTAGGGGTATTAGAGTAAATCCTACTCTTGTAACGAGATTAACATTTATAAATAACAACTAATGGGGCATCAGTAATATACAACCGAACCCCTTCTTTCTTTCTCTCTCTCTCTCTCTCTCTCTCTCTCTCTCTTCTTCTCTTCGAACCTGTGTTTCTTTTCTTAAATTACATCAGACCACTGCAGTATTCTATCTGTTTTGTTCAAGTGTATAGTTCTGAAGTAGCAGAGATCTTGTGGTTGAAGACTTTATTACTGAAAACAACTTACAATACCATGCAAAGTCCAGATATTGTGAATAAAGAAGTCCTGACCATATTCATGGCACATATTGTTACCAGAGATCCAGAATACGATTGGGGCAAACACATTCAAGTGGATCAGAATTTAACTTGTGAAAGAGTTGCATAAACTAGATGTTTACTAGTTTAAGAATTGCTCTGCCAACCATTTAAAATTGTAAAAAATTCTACTAGAAATTATTGTAAATGAAAAAATGAACAAAAATGAAAAATCATAGCACACAACAAAGAATTTGCAAAACAAAATAATTAGTCAATATTGTTATCAATATGACAACAAATAAATTTATAAGTATAGATTATCCATATGGAATAAAGCCTGATATAAATAAACATATTAAAACAAATATACCAGTTGTGCTTCCCTTTGTATTAAACGAAATATACCAGTTGGAAACAAACTCACTGTATGTGCAGGGGTAAGGTTGTGGACATCTGTCCCTCCCCAAACCCTGCATTGGCGGAAGCCTCGTGAACTGGGCTGCCCTTTTTATTAAAAGAAATATACCAGTTAAACAAAGCCACCTCATAAATAATGTTAGGCAATATTCTGTAAAAAGGCAGCCTAGGTTGCACAAGGCTCCTGCCAATGTGGGGTCTCGGGAGGGACATACAAAGAGGCTGTTACCATGATTTGAACCCTGGTCACCTAGGTTGCAATGGAGCAACCCAACCATTGCGCCAAGGCCCACCCTCTAAGGGCAGACTTTGAGATAGTTCCAAGCATTGCACTTTGGCAAAGATACAAAGAGAGATGACTTGAAACCATTGACTCTCATCACCTCAATTTCTTGTTTCTTCTCAGAGATAGAGAGACAGGAACAAGATATTTTAATGAGTTTTTTACCTCTAAAAAATATAGCCAAGGACATATTTAGAAAGAAAAGAATAGGTATTTATAAACGCTAAGTTCTTTTCACTACACTGCTATTTATAAATAGCAACTTGTCTACTGATTTTGGTAATACAAAAGATAGGATTTGCATCTTTGATTTCTCTTCTTTGTTAATGCTGAAACTAAATATTAGAGTTATTTTACTATTGGGTACTAATATAAAGCAGTTTGAGATATGCTCTGCAATAGACAATGGTAACTTTTTAGTAATTATAGTTGTATAGAGAATAAGGATCAAAGTGAACAACTATCATGGGAGCACAATAAGATGCTTAAACTTTGTAGGTTTCCCTAATTTAAGAAGGAAGAGGGCCTTTTTAGAGATTCTTTTAGATTTTGAGGGGGATCCATAATAAGAGCTCCCAATGCTGTCTTGGTGTTGTCAAGGAACTTAATCATATCTGAATTGTGTGACATAAAGCTATACACAGAAGAAATTTTTCTCACTGCCCTATATCAATACATGAGGATTCGTACATGCATGTGTCTGCATAGAAATATCACATACATGTGAATTATAGCATGTTTTTCTTAAGGGTATGCAACAACTAATTAGTGTTAAAATATTCATAAATGTAAATTCCTATAATGAGATGCATTAAACTGGTAATTGCTACTTGGATGTGTCATGAGCTTTTTTTTTTTTTCAACTGAAGACATCAACATAAATTTCTGATTAGAAGCAATGTTGCAACAAGAAATACACTAATTCAAGGGTGGAACAATTAAACAATTATTAAGAACTTTTGAATAATTATATACCTTATTTAGAAAACTAAGGAAACCATCCTCTGTATATGTACTTCTCACAAAACCCTGGGCATCTTCAATTGATAAATAACCTCCACAACTAGAAGTAGTATCACTGAGAAATGATGTCAGAAATCATTTTCTTGAATACATATACAATTCAAAGACCCATGTAAATGAAAATAAAAAGTTAAAACACCAAATATACAAAATGTGAATATATAGCTCCATATTCTTTATTGTATGTATGCCTTCATTTCCATTTGATCCACCTCTTAAATGGGCCACTAGCCATGAGCTTAAAACATGCTCACTCAATCTTATATAATGTTGCATGCACCCAGGCATCAAAGTTTCAGATCTTTACTAGAGTTGTAATGGCTTATAATTATATTAGGAGTAATTGCTTTCTATTTCTACTCATATTTTCTTATTGATAACGAAAAATGTATTAATATAAAAACAAGGTATACAGCAATCAGCAGCTTATACAATGAATCTCTACACTCCAGAGACTGAACAAACTTAACCCTAAATCCTATAGAATAGTGTAGAGATAGTGAAGATTAAAGTTGTAATTTTATTCGTATCTTGTACATATTCTTTATTCCCTTTGTTCTTTTGTATCTTCAGGACAGAAGTGTCCTTTTGTTTTATTAATATAAGTACTCTTTCTTTGGTTGGTCAAACTACTGGACACACTACAAATCTGTTTACCTTCCTCTTGTTTGAACTACACTAACATGGTACGGAGCAGCTTCAATCATTCATTGATTTCTGCTATCATTCCTCACTATTAGATAATCAAATAAGGATTCATATCACCTTTTTGCACTGGTATCTGTTATCAACTTGGGGCCTTTTCAATCAGGACAAGAAGATCATATTTTCTGGGAAAATATGCCATTCATCTTGCTATTTATCCTGTTTCTCACAAGTGATTGCTCCATTTGGGTTGAAATCTAGATCTAGTGCCTCCCTAGGCTGTTCCTTCAGCCTATATTTTTTGATGAAGTTTGGATTGGATTTACTAGGGTTTTGATCCAACCTATTCGGCCAACCCGTGTTCTTTCCTTCTCTTGAGTGTTGAGAAATTTTCAGCATTATCTTGCACTTCCATTGGTTGATTTCTTTACTCTGTTGTTTTCGATAGCTTCCGAAAGAACTGATGTGCTTCCATTAAGTTTGATGGGCCCAACTATGCCCTATGGCAATTCCATTTTCAGTTTTATGTTGAAGGAAAGGGTCTGTGGGGGCATATTGATGGGACCACTGTCAAGCTTGATGAAACCGATGCAAAGGGACTGCAAACTTGGAAGAATAATAATGCTCAGATTGCTTCCAGGATTCTTGGTTCAGTGGATACTGATGTGGCTATCCCTATGAGAGGTCTCCGAACAGATAAGGAGATGTATGATTACTTGGAAAAGGTTTATCAGCAATCAAACATCTCTTGATGGTATCAGATTGAGAGAGATTTTTTTTTCATATTTCCAGGGTGAGAGAAAAATTCGAGGGTTTTATGCTGGTTTCATTAACCTTTGGGCGGAATATGAACTGGTTCACACTGGGGAGGTATCATCAACCTGTTGCATTAAGGCCCTAAAGGAACATTTTGATAGGAGAAAAGTGATGCATTTCCTAATGCATCTTTGGGCTGAATATAAAGTAACAAGGTCGAATATTCTGCATAAAGATATTGTGCCATCCCTAGACACTATTCTTGGTGAGCTTCAACGTGAAGAAACTAGAATGGTTACTCAGTCTTCTGTCAATGCAAAGAATGAAGGGGTGGAGACTATGTTTCTAGCTGCAGATAAGTCCAAATCAAAGAAAGATTTATCTGAAGTACAATGTTATGAATGTAAGGAATTCAGAGTGTGGTGTCTCATTGTAGGAAGAACTAAGAACATGTGTACCTACTGTAAGAAGCATGGGCATATTATACCTGAATGTCCCACTCGACCACCGAAAGGGAACCATGAAAAATCAACACATGGCACATTAGACCTAGGTTGAAGGATAAAACGACATACCATTCTCTATTGCATCGACAAAGGGAGATGCTCCTAATGTTATGACAGAGGAGAAGATTAAGAAGCTCATGTCCTCGGTAATTACGTCTGCCTTTTTTGCTTCCGGCTTGTCTGGTGAGTTTACCTATTATTGTTCTTCACCTAATCATCTCTAGATCATTGGTTTTGGCATCTCTAATTATATGATGGGGGCAACTTGTGGTCAATCTTCCTATCCTATCCCCTCTAAAACATATTGTTGCAGCCAATGGTGAGAAGTTTAACATTGTTGGTTGTAAGGACTTAGCCTTGGCTACCTCACTCCTCTCCTTTCTTATTGCCTTAAACCCTGTTTGCTCCTAAACTTACCACTTATCTAATATCTGTTAGTCAACTTGTTGAACATGGTAATACTGTCATGTTCTTACATGATGGTTGTTTGATACAGGAGCAACGCACTAGGGAGTGGTTGTAGAGTGGGGCAACTCTTCGCACTGGAATTTGAGAGGAAGCCAACTTCTACTACTACTAGTTCTTGTCTTTTGTGATGTCTTGTAATAATGATTAGAACCTTTGGCATCGTCGTTTGGACAATCCTTTTGCAAAGAAACTTGAGTCACTTTTTACTTTTGGATGTTTACCTTCATCTGTCACTTTTGTGATTTCCAGTTTCAACTACACATGCTATTGCTCCTTTTCAGTTATTGCATAGTAATGTTTGGTTGTCTCCTATGATTTCTAGAATGAGACTTAAATGAAGTGGTTGAATATGATTTCTACACATGCTATTTTCTTTGCAGCAACATGGTATACAATCCCGAAGATCTTGTCCCGACACTCAACAAAATGAAGTGGTTGAATGCAAGAATGGCCACATCTTGAGTGTTGTAAAAACCCTGCTACTAGATTCTCATCTTCCAACAACCTTCTAGTTGGAAGCTGTCTACATTGTTGTGCATCTCATTAATATTCTTTCATCGTTTGTTCTTGAAAGTTTTTCTCCAACTCCCCTCCTAACTTCTCAATACTTCATGTCATTGGGTGTATCTGTTTTGGGCATCTTCCTCATGAGCATACTAAGTTGACGGCTCAATTTGCTTTGTGTTCTTTCCTGGGCTACAATCCTAACTATAAAAGATTTGTTTATTATGATAAAAAATCTTGTAGTCTTGAATTTATCGAAATGTGATTTTTCTTGAAAATCTTTTTTTTTTCTTTGAACATGTTACCAAAATTCCTACTCCTTTAGTGTCAATCTTGCAACACTTTGAACCTACAGGTCCTTCTAAAGCACTTCGTTTTTTTTGGTTGCCATATCATGACAGATAGTTCAAAAGAGATAGTAAAAGTTGAATGGCTGTGTCAATTTGTCTACACACCCAAAGGATTTGAATTATATATCACAAGTTTACATAAAAGTGAAAGAAACATTGTGCCCTTCACTAAAACAAATAAGAAATAAGATAARTTTACAAGAAARAATAAAARATACKATACAATAAGGTACAAGATAAAATGGTACTCCCAATTGATCAGCCCATAGTATCTCTACACCCCCCTCAAACTGATGTTGAGGTAGAAGCATCAATTTGTTAGCCAAGAACTCGTGGTGAGGATGCATCATAGCCTTAGTGAAGATTTCAGCTAGTTGAAGGCTAGACAAAACATGGGGAAGAGTAATGAGACTGGCAAAGAACTGATCTTTGATGAAATGGAAATCATCCTCTATATGTTTGGTACGCTCGTGGAAAGTAGGATTAAAGACAATCTTGATAACACTGATATTATCTGCATGGATGGGAATAGGAGTAGGAGTCTGGAGGTGAAGATCATTGAGAAGAGCTCGAAGCCACACAATTTCACTACAGACAGAGGACAGCTCAATATCTTGCCTTAATGGAGGACTTGGAGATAGTTTGTTGTTTCTTACACTTTTAGGACATAAGGGAATCACTCACGAAAACACACTGGCCTATGGTAGATCTTCTAGTGTAAGGGCAGCCAACCTAATAAGCATATGCATAGTCTAGCAGATTTAGAGATGACGATGATGAAGAGAAAAAATAGTCCATACGAGACAGTACCCCTGATGTACCTTATGATCCTAAGAATTGCTGTCTTATGGGGCTGTCTAGGAGAAGTAACAAAGTGGCTGACAACTTGAACTGAATAGGAGATATCAGGTCTTGTCATGGTGAGATAGAAGAGGCTATCAACAAGTTTCCTATACAATGTAGCATCAGGAAGGAGTTCACCACAATCCTTGGATGATTTCAGGTTCACCTCAAGAGGAGTATCCACCTATTTCTCATCAATGAGAAAAGCTATTCGAACCAAATCCATAACATACTTTTGCTGATTTACAAAGTATCCTTAAGGGGAATGACTTACCTCCATTCCTAGGATACAAGTCAGGGAGCCAAGATCCTTCATCTTGAATGCTTGGCTCAAGAGATTCTTGAGTTGGGAAATACCCTCATAGTGCCTGCTTTAAGACAGAGAGAATAATCAAAAGGGCTTTGCATGATAGAATGAAACCTCTCAAACCAAGCTCAAGGTTTTGTCTGGGATTCCTTTTTTTTTTTGCTTTCTTTGGTTGCAAGTGGATTACTCCTCAGGATGTAGTGAGTCTCTTCAACCCAAATTTCATAAGGCAGACGATGAAAAGAAGAAAGAGTTATGTGTAAAACAATTAGGGTAGCAGTGGTGTGGACTTCCTAAGGCAGCAGACGAAAAGAGGAAGAGTTACATGGAAAACAGTTAGGGCAACAGTGGTGTGGACTTTTTGGGAGCAAAGAAATGCAAGGATCTTTAATGAAAAGCACAAGTCAAAAGAAGAAATTGTGGATTCTATAAAGATAAAAGTTGCACACTGGCTAAAAACACTAGAGCTCTTCCAAAGTTTTTCAGTGGTTGACATAATAAGAGCATGGAATGAAGTGGTACACTCTTCTAAAGAGAAAGACAAAAAATGTGATGGATTGGAAGCCCACAGCTAGCAACAAAGTCAAGATGAACTTCAGTGGGAGCTCTTTAGTGAACCTGGGACTAGCAGGAAATGGTAGTGTATTTAGAGATTCTTCAGGGGAAGTACTGGCAA